TTTCCCTTCCTCCTTCCCCACATGTTGTTTCATAGTATTTCTTAAGACAGTAGAGTCCCAATGTTTTTTATCCCATAGCAGGTCTGCATTAACCTCTTGTCCTGGAGATACAAGTGTTTAAGGGTGCTTTTGCAGAAAAACAAATACTGTCTTATGGTACTGAGAATTATTTATGTGATACCTTATTTTGTAAATCCACTCCACAATGTTGTCTCATTCCGATCAGCCACATTAATATTTGAATACTGGATGCCAAACTATTGAAGATAAATTCTAATAAGTCACTCACCCCTGAAGATTTGGATTTCTAAGCAAAAGTATGTGGGCTAGACTGTGGCATTTAGCCACATCCCTAACTAAAGTGCAGTACAAAGTCACAGCCCCATGGGAAAGTCAAGGAGGACTGTACCTTTAGAAACTAATCTCTCTCCACCTTCACCCATGGCCACTGTCCCACAAGACTGGGCCCATAATATATCCTAGCACAACTGATCCTGCTCCAAACACATCTGTTTATACCCTCTATGGCAGATGCTGGTGGGCAAAATGTGGCCCGGGGACCAGATGCAGCCTGCCAGGCCATTCTATCCAGCCCAAGGGGCCCCTAAAAATTTTAGAAAATTAATATTTATCTGCCCTGAGCTGCCTGTCATGCGGCCTTCAATGGCTTGCCAAAACTCAGTAAGCGGCCCTCTGCCCAAAATAATTGCCCTCCCCTGCTCTATGGCATAGAGAACTATCTCCTGTGGATTGGAGTAATTACATACAGAACAAGATGTGCATGCCAATGGAAGTTACTGGAGAGCTAGTGTGCTGATGTTTGTTCAATCAAGAGACAGCACTACTAACTGTTAGGATTTTTTTTATTTTCTTCTCACTACTAGATTTGGGAAATATAAAATTAGTAAGGAACTGATTTTATATTTAAAACATTCTTCCTCACAAAGCATCTATAATAGTTATTCTTATTCCTAAATTAATACAGGGAAACAGAGGTGCAATCAACAGATTTTCATAGGTGCTAGCCAACCAAATCTCAAATATAAATACAACCATCTGTGCCCCCTTATCAACACAGATCACATCATCATAGGGTCTATTTCATATGCTCAATTATGCGCATTTGTACATATAAAGGATAATTTAAGACATGAACTTAAACCGGGTCCTGTTGTGCTAGTACTTTGTACAAATACCCTTTGCAAGTTGTTCACAATACAAAAACACATTTCCCTTTCTGCTTCACAGACATACATAAAGGTACTTAGAGTATAACTGTAACTACTCCTTTCATCAATTATGTGTTCTGCTAATTACGAGCCCAACAGTACTGTTTGAAATGTTATATTTTGATTAGTCTTTTACATGAAGAAGAGTCTGTTAATATAAAACAAATAAAAATATTAAAATATACTCTACTGTAAGCCATGAATAAGGATGCTCTTGATGACATTCTAGTCTGTTCAAATTAATAAAGGTTCTAAGGCACACACAGCATACTTTTCCCAAAAGTGATTGGAAAGAAGATCACACACCTCCTTCTAATTGTATCAAAGAGCATAAAGGTGTAAAAATGAAGAGAAAAGCTTTTTTTCCAAGTTTCTAAAAAGTTTCACTTTGGAACACACAATTAGGTCAGTTCAGCTTTCAACCAAAGCTGTGATACTTGCCTACTTCAA